CGCCAGATAACCCACACGCCTTGTCAGCCCTGGCAAGCGGGGTCGTCGGATTTGAAGATGAGCGGTCGAAGAGGTTTCTTCTGTACAGCTTTGCATTCGTATTATGTCTCACGTTTAGCTGCTATGTCGAGGAGTGGATATTCAAGGTGCTACCAGGATTCACATTTCCATGGATGGTGGCTTTTGTGGAGCTCTTGTTGTTTTCGCTGTGGGCTGGAGCACACCAGCGATCTGTGAACGGCAACTGGTCAATTGTTTGGAAACGACGAGCTCCGCTGCGGATGTACGCTGCTTTCTCTGTGTGCCTGGCGTTGTCGCAATCTCTTGGTAAGGTTACCGTGCTGTATATGAACTACGCAACTTCCACGATAGTCAAAAGTGGGAAGCTCGTGCCCACACTTTGTCTGTCAGTCGTCTGGCTTCGCAGGCCAGTGGCAGTCCTCGAGTGGGTGGCTGCAGGGCTTCTCGTGTTCTCCTCTTCCTTGATGGCTCTTGGCGAGCATCTGTCCGATGTCAATTTCCAGCCCATGGGCCTGTTGATAGCGCTCTTTCAGTTGATAGCCGCGTCATTGCAAGGGAACGTGCAGGAGCGAGTCTTGAAGGATTACGATGCGACGATCAGCGAAGCAATGCTGTTTGGTAACGGCTTCGGCGCTGTCCTCGTGCTTGGAGCGATGGTTGCTAATGGTGAGCTGGCGCCAGCTGCGTCTTTTTTTCTAGAATCTAAGCTTGCCCTGTTGTTGCTCGCGGTACGGTCGGTGACATTCCTGCTTGGCGCAATCGCGCTTAACGTGCTCACCAAGGAGTACGGTACTGGAGCTGCCACGGCTGTTGGCACTGCTCGGAAATCCCTGACTCTTCTCTTCTCGTTTGCCCTGTTCCCGAAGCCGTTCCACTTTAACTACGTGCTCGGGGTGATCACCTTCTTGGCGGCGGACGTGGCCTACCTGCACATGGCCAGCCACAAGGCCGCGATGCGCCTGAAGGGGCACGATGCTGCCTACAACCCCGTGGCCGCTCCTGGTGGCGAGGGCATCGACCGCCCCGGTGAACCGCCGGGCCAGCGGCGCCGCGGCCCGGCGGACGGAGGTCTCGAGATCGCATCGACGGTGTAAATTCGCGCGGCTCGCCCCCGCAAACAAAATGAGCCCCGACAGGCAGCAGTTTGACAGCATTTTTGCAGCTTCAGGTCAAATTCTCGAGCCAAATTGTAACCAGTGGGCAGGGTGCGTCCGTTGATCTCGGACGGCCCAGGGGCCCGAGCGTAAGTTGGGCGGGGGTTGGGCCAAGCGCTCCTCCGCCCACCACACTTCCCTCTTTGCCCTGACTCGCCATGGCCTTGGCTGCGTAGTCCAGCGAGCTGCGTGAATTGGGCGACCCATTCTGCCCAGGCAGTCCCGCGGAACCGGGCCCTACAATCGCACTGGGGCCGCACGAGAGCACACGTGGACGGACTTGTGTTTGCAATTCCCGGAACGTCGCATCTTGTGGAACTGCGGTGGCTATCCCGATTGGTAGCGAAGTAGTGCCTTCGCCGAGAACCCTTGTGTGCGCCAAAGCTGTGGAGGGTGCAGTGGTTTTACATGCGTCGTCGCTCCAGGATCTGATTTCACCCATGACCCTTGATGTCTAAATCGGAGGCTGGTTGGTGAGACCAGAGTGAAATGGAGTCCCCCAACCAGGAGATCAGTTTCGGTTTCGGTTTGTGTTGCGCATGCGGGCACGGCGGAGCTGTCAAAGTGCATCGGTTCCCCATGCGTCGGGGCGTGTGCGGGGTTGTCCCGCGGATGTCCCGTTGTTGTCCCGTGGTTGTCCCGGGCGTGCGCGGGATTGTCTCGCGGTTGTCCCATAGTCGTCCCGGGCGTGCGCGGGGTTGTCGCGTGCTTGTCCCTCGGTTGTCCCGTGGTTACCGTGGGGTTGTTTTGTGGTCGTGCCGTTGTTGTCTTGTGGTTTTTGTTGTGGCTGCCCCTTGGTTATCTTGAGGTTGCCTCGTGGTTGTCTTTTGGTTGTCAGGAGGGTGCTCGTGATTGTTCCCCTGTTGTCCCGTGGCTTTCCCGTGCTTGCCCCGTCTGTAGATGCAGAGGTTTGGGGACCGACATATGTCGAGATCGATCGATCGGTGTGTGTGTATATATAGATACATGGAACGATATGATGGTAGCGCGGTCGGGCGATAGTTTCGCACGGGCCAGTACATGAGGAGATCAAGGCCGATAGGTTGCTAGATCGCAGATCCGACCAGACGCCAATCATATACCGAAAGCTGCACCCATCCTCGTAACCACCTGATCACTCGAAGGGTGGTGCCATAGGTATTTTGCTTGTGGCCGTGAGGGTGATTCTTGCGTCTGGGAGCCCTTCAGGATCTGGCAATCCTTGTCGCGGTTGAACTGAGAAGAGCATCCATTATGTGTTTGTGTTGCCGATCCAAGTAACATCAAGCTCGACATTCGAGTTGGGGCGAGTATGCCATTGCTGTGTCGTGTTAATCGAAGACATGTGCTTCTCACTCGTATCATAGTTCAGAAGATCAGGATTTGCATGTACATGGTGTGTTTCCCCCGCCTCGTCCAGGACCAGGCCTGGTGATCACAGAGAGTCGGTGATTGCAGGGCATCGCGTGGAAAATGCACATCGGCGGCGCGCACAAGGGTGTGGCGCGAGGGGGTGGCTCTGTTACAAGAAGGGAGGGCTTCTTAGAAGGCAGGGGCCCTCTCGGAAGGGCCCAGCGCCTGCTAAGAAGTCGCCTGCCTTCTAAGAGGCACCCTGCCTCCTTAGATAGCCACCCCTCTCGCGACACCTCCTGGTGCGCGCCGCCAAGCACACCGTACCAATATTGACCGTGATTGTGACCACCACCGCTGCCAGGGGCTGTGCGTTCCACGGTTGTGCGTGGGTTAGCTTTTGGCACGACGCGGGGTCTGTCTCCGGCGACCGTTCCGCAGATCTACGACCAGGAGATATTCGGGCCAGTGCTTTGCTGCGTCCAGGTGGATACCTACCAGGAGCGCCCATACTTTTCTGCACCCCGCCCGCTCACTCTCCAACTCGTTTTCTCTCTATCTGACTGTGTCCTTCTCTATGTATTCCCATTCTTATATTTTAACCACCCGGACCCCCCCCCTAAACCAGACGACCCCCCCACAGGACACCCCAGACGACCCTGCCCTCCACCCAACGAACGCCCTGGACGCCCTTTCGGAGTCCTGGCGGCCTTCCGGGCAGTTGGACGCCTCTGCCGGTCGGAGCCCACGGGCCCAAAACGGGCCCCAAGACGGCCCATCAGCGCCCAAAGAGGACCCAATATGAGTTCAAGACGGCCCACGAAACCCCTTAGACGGTCCATAAGGCCCCAAAAGAGATCTCCAAGAGCCTAAAGTCGTCCCATTCTTTGTGGAAACGTACGTTTTTGAAGATATTAGCTTTGTTTTCCGCTTTCACAGCGCCCACGGCATCCCCAGAGACTCAAGATCGCCCCAGGACGGCCTCCGAGGCCTCTATGAGCGGCTCAAGGCGGCCCAAAAGAGCTCCAAAACGGATCAAGAGAAGCCCAAAGCGGCCCAAGAGGGGCCCCAGAGGGCCCCGACCCAAGAGAGCCACAGAAGGCCCCCAAGAGTGTCCCAAGAGGGCCCCCAAAAAGCCTCTGGCCGGCCCAGCCTCCCAAAACGGCCAAAACAAGTTTCCGGGACGGCCCAATTGGGTTCCAAGACGGCCCAAAACAGCCCCAAAAGGAGTCTTCTGGTCCGGAGAGTCACCAGGAGCTCAAACGCGAGCTCACACCGTTCCAATCTAGCTTCCAGCAGTTCTCTTACACTCCACGATGCCGTAGTTCGCAAGACGGTGGTTCGCAAGAACCTCAGAAGCCCCACAAGCGTCCAGGACCCCTCCAGGCATTCAGGAAGCGACTAGTCGTCGTCGCCGCCGTTGTCGTCGTCCTCGTCCTACGGAGGAGCAGGAGGTCTCGGCCTGTCATCGCGGGCTGCCGCCTCATTATTGCGTAGCCCGCTTAGTGACGCCCCGAGCGCTCGCTCCCGCGGCCTGCCCGAGAGGAGGAGCAGGAGGAGCAGGACGACGACGACGAGGAAGGGCCAAGTTTCTTCCCCCCTTTCCGCCCCTTCAGCCCCCCCTCCCCCTGCTCCCTTCCCGTTCCCCGTTCGTAGACAGGTGCCATCGCGACCGCCGTGTGCCAGCACGTTCGCGCGTGCAAAAAATCACCCTTCCCTCCCCACTTCTGCGCACAGGCGCGCAAACCCCCGTCGGGCGAACGCAGTGTTAGCCAGGTCCAGGGATAGCAGAAAAATGAAACAGTCGCCCGTCCAGACCTCGACACCCCCTCTGCTGAAACACGCGGTGACTTATTGTTTTTCCGAGAAGCGTCCGGAACAAGGCGCATGGCGCGAAACGCCAACGCAGTCTTGTATACATATATATATAATATACACAGCACGTTATGTTTGTTCCTTACAGTATTTGTTGTCTCTCTCTCTCTCTGTCTCTCTCTCTCTCTCTCTTTCTCTCTCTAGTCCTCTCCCTCTCCCTCCTCCTCCTCCTCTCTCTCTCTCTCTCGTTTTTTTGTTTTGTTCTCTCTCTCTCTCTCTCTCTCCCTGCAGAAATCCAGAGACCCCCAGCAGGTTTACTGACAGAGATCATGCCATTGCTGGTATGGCTCAAGGCAAGCATCCGAAGAAAATATCTCGCCATGGTAGCGGAGCCGTGGTCCCGACCCTCCCAGTCCACAGGGTCGGGCTCCGCGGCTCCCTCTCCCGCCAGCGGCGCGGGGAGCCCCAGCAGCCTGGGGCCGGCCGCCGGTGCGGGAGCCGCAGCAGGGCCTGCCGGGCCCAGCTCCAGCGAGGGCGACGAGTGGGAGCTCGTCGAGGTCCATCGATGCTGGAGGAGAGTGGCGAGGCAGCTACGCAAGCTGTTCAGGCTGAGGAGGACCTGGGCAGCGCTGGGCCAGCACCTGAAGGATTTCACGAAGCTGCGCGCGAACCGCCGCTGAGATGGCGGAGGAGCGCGTGCAGGCTCTAGAGCAGCAGATGATAGCGCTGGCCCAGGAGCTGCAGAACCGCCAGCAGAGGGAGAACGATCTCACGGCCGAGGTGCAGCGGCTCGGCCGTGTGGCCGAGGCTAGACCACGGGTGGACGGGCCTGTGCCACAGCCTCGAGCCGAGTCGATCGTGGACACCCGCACGCTGGGCAAGCCAGACGTGTTCACGGGCGAAGAGCACAAGTGGAACGATTGGAAGGTGATCTTCAAGGCGTACTGCGGCGTCGTGAGCGCCGACTTGCTGGCAGGGATGCGACTGGCAGAGAGCGCTGACGAGGCCTCAGTTCAGAACGATGACTTCCTCGAGGAGAACATGAGGCAGGCCTCGCAGCAGCTGTATTACATCTTGCTCCTCCTCTGCCGGCAGCATCCCCTGACGACGATCGTGAATGCTGGCGAGAATGAGGGCTTCCAGGCTTGGCGCAAGCTGGTTGAATACTACGAACCGAATGCGAGGTCCCGCATCGCGGGGCAGCTGCTGAATCTCCTGAACTTCTCGTTCACTGGCGATGTCGAGGACCGGCTGGCGCTGTTCGAGCGAGAGCTCCTCAGGTACGAGCAGAGGAGCGGCGAGGCCATCGCAGCCTCCATGAGGATCGGCATCGTCCTTCGGCAGCCGAGGAAGGCCCTCTACGCCAGCACCTCTTGCTCAATGCGACCAGGCTGGTGGAGTGGCAGGACTTCCGACGTGAGGTCACCGACATCCGCCGTGCCCAGAGCGCCATCGCCCTGGTGCCCGTGCCCATGGACCTGAGCGCGTTCACCAAGGGTGACGGCAAGGGCAGGTTCAAGGGCGACGGCAAGGGCAAGAGCAAGTCCAGTGGCAAGGGCAAGAGCAAGGGCGACAGCAAGGGCAAGTCCAAGTCCGACGGCAAGAGCAAGACCAGCAGCAAGTCACATGGTCAGCAGCTCGGGCCACTCTGCTGGGGCTGCGGGGGTCGCGGCCGCACTCAGCGTGAATGCCCGAGCAAGCACAGGGGGGCGTTGGCGAGCATGGAGCAGACGCTGGCTCGCATCAACGCCTCCCAGTCGACGAGTACGACCGTACCATCGGCGGCCAGCTCTATCTCGACGGCTGCGACTACGAGGCTGAGTCCGGCGACGGCGATGTCCGGCACGAGCTCTCGACAGGTCGCAGCGCTCTACCTGAACGACGCGGGCGAGCAAGTCAGCTACCCGTTCGCGAACCTCCACTCCCTCAGCGTCTACGACCCGGGGCCGGACAAGGCGGACGTGGTCGACTCTGCGACCGGCGCGGCCCTGGACCTGAACATGATCCACGGCAACTCGGATGCGGAGGAGGTCGAGCTCAACGGCATCTTGCGTGTGGGCATCGACTCGTGTGCGGCGGCATCGGTGCTGCCGCGTGGCTCGTGCACGGACTACCCGACTACCCGGTGCACGAGGGCGGCCGGGCGATCTCGTACAAGACCGCCTCTGGCCACTACGTGAACGACGAGGGCGAGAAGATCCTCGTGGGGACGATGCCTGGGGCTTCTCAGGCACGCGCTGCCAAGTTCAGGGTGGCGGACATCAGCAAGCCGTTGCTGAGCGTCGCGGAGATGGTCGACTCTGGCCATCGGCTCGTCTTCGACTCGGAGGGCGGGCAGGACATCAGCTACGCGTGCCACAAGACCAGCGGAGACGTTGTCAGGTTCTGCCGCAGGAATAAGGTCTACGAGATGGATATGCACGTCGACCCGTACGTGCCGGAGGTCTGCCCGGTCGAGGTGGCAGGCCACGAGCCTCCCGAGGGTGAAGCCGGCCAGCCAGGCGCGGCTCACGAGGAGGTCGCCGAGGGCCCGCCGGCACGGCCGGCGAGGGAGCCCGCAGCGCCGACGGCGGCCGAGCGAGCCGCGCACGAGGTGCTGCACGAGCCCTACAGGGCATGGTGCCGGGAGTGCGTCTCCGGCAGAGGCCTGTCAGCAGGCCATCAGACGAAGGACCACCAGGAGTCGGCGCTCGCGGTGGTTGGCATCGACTACGGCTACCTCGGTGAACGAGAGGGCGCCACGCCGCTGCTGATCGGGAAAGATTCGAAGCAGCGTTGGTTCCACGCGTCGGTGGTGCCAGCTAAGGGGGCGCAGCATCCCTGGCCGGCAAAGTCGTGGTCCAGGAGGCTGGCATCGGCTGGCCACAAGCGCTTCGTCTTCCGCTCAGACGGCGAGGCGCCGCTCGTCGCCCTGAAGACCCGCATCGGGGCCAAGCTCAAGGAGGAGTACGGCATCGAGACGGTGCCCGAGGGGAGCGCGGTCGGCGACTCTCAGGGCAACGGCCTGGCCGAGCACGCGGCGCGCGAGGTCAAGGCCAAGGCGAGGACGGCGCGGGCGCAGGTGGACGACCTCCACGGCGTGAACATTGGCGTCGAGCACCCAGTGACCCCGTGGATGGTCGAGTTCGCAGCCATGTCCATCAACTTGGGCAGGCGGGGCGCTGACGGCCGCACGGCTTGGGAACTTCGGCACGGCCGCCCCTTCAACAAGGACCTGGCTTGCTTCTCGGAGAAGGTCCTGTATCTCCCAGGGGGCAAGCGCAAGGCTGGGACCGAGGACAACTTCCTCGCTGGGCTCTACCTGGGGCCCGCGCTTCGGACGGACGAGGTCTACATTGGCACGGAGTTGGGCGCACTGCGGGCCAGGACCTTCAAGCGGTTGACGGTCGAGCAGCGGGCCGACAAGGACCTGCTGAACAGCCTCTTGGGGAAGCCGTGGGCGCCGGTGCCGACGGACGTGGAGGTGGACGAGGTACCGGTGGCCATCGAGATCCGAGCGCCGGTGCCAGCGCCGGTCGCGCCCTTGGGCGGACCTCTGGCGCCCATCCCCGAGGCCGGGGACCTCCCGCCCCGGGCTCTCCGAGTCGGGCGACCACCGGCAGGACCGCGGGCCGTCTACATCAGGAAGGACGTCGAGATCGCGAAGTACGGGCTCTCCCCGGGCTGCTACGGCTGCGCCGCGATCCTCAACGGCGCCCGGGCGCGGGCTCACTCAGCCGAGTGCCGCGCTCGGATCGAGCAGGCGATGCAGGGCGACGAGGAGGCGAAGCAGAGGTTCGAGGATGCCCGTGAGCGGAAGCGGCATCGCACTGACGTCGCCGGGCCTGTCTATCAAGAGGGCGGCTCGTCAGGCAGTGGCGGTCCAGCCCCAGCTCAGCAGGTGCCGCCAGCACCCGAGGCCGCGGCGGCGGCTGACGCGGCGACGGCTCCGGCACCACACGACCCCGGCGACGACAACATGCAGGAGGAGATCGGTGCCCTCCTGCTCTCTCTCGGCTACAGCGGGCGCAAGGCCAACGTGATGGAGGTCTTCTGCCCGAATAGGCTTGTGGGCTTTGCCCCCCTCTTCGGTCTGGTTCACGGCGGCTCGTTCGACCTGGGAGTTGGCTGGGACCTGACCGACCGCCAGCAGCAGCGACAGTGCCGGGAGCTGATCGAGCACTTCGAAGTGTACTTCCTCTTGGGCAGTCCTCGCTGCGCGCCGTTCTCCATGCTGAAGTACCTGAATGAGGACACGGAGAAGCAGCGTGAGGCCTACGCCATCGGGTACGAGCACTTGAGGTTCGTGATGGAGCTTTATACGCTGCAGGTGAAGCACGACCGCACGTTCTTGCACGAGCACCCCTGGAGCGCGGACAGCTGGGACCTGGACATCGTGAAGGATGTGATGGCTCTCCCGGGTGTCGAGGTCGGGCGAGGCGACCAGTGCGTGTTCGGCCTGGTGGTTGCGGACGCGCACGGCGACAGGCTCGCCAAGAAGCCGACAGGGTGGATGAGTAATAACAAGGAGGTGTTGGATGAGGTCTGCAAGCGCTGCCCCAATGATACTGGCATTGGCAGCCGCCACGAGCAGTCCACCTTCGTCGGCCGCAACATGCGTGTGGCGGAGAGGTACCCGGTCAAGCTCCTCCGCGCCATCCTCCGTGGCCTTCGCCGTCACCTTAGCAACGAGAAGGTGCTCGCGCTTTCGGCCCTGGATGCTGGGCCGAACGTGGACGATGAGGAGATCAGCCTGAAGGCTTTCGTCGGGAAGTGGCGCGACACGCTGAGGACCGAGTTCTACGACGACCTCACCGGCCTCCCGCTGGACCCCATGCGGGTGAAGGCCGCGAGGCGCCTGGAGATGGATTTCATGGCGCAGCTTGGCGTGTGGGTCTACGCGAGGGAGGAGGACTGTCAGCGCGAGCTTGGACGGAGGCCTCTCAGTGTGCGCTGGGTTGATATCGACAAGGGCGACACCGACCGGCCGGATTACAGATCCAGGCTCGTCGTGCAGGAGACCAAGGCGCAGAGCACCATCGCCGGGGACGACATCGGCGCGGTGTTTGCGGCGACCCCGCCCCTAGAGTGCCTTCGGCTCATCTGCAGCATGGCGATGTCGAGCGACCCGTCCGAGGGCCGCGTGCTGCGCTTCCTGGGCATCTCGCGGGCACGCCCGCACTGTGAGATCAAGTGGACGGTCTACATCAAGCTTCCAGAGGAGGATCCGATGTCGCAGGAGATCGGCACGTGTGGGCTCTTGCGGATGGAGCTCTACGGGACGCGCGACGCTGGCCAGAACTTCGAGCTCGCGACTGCCGAGGCGGTCATCGGTGCTGGCTGCGACCAGTCGGCCTTCTCGCCTTGCGTGCACTGCCACAAGGACCTCCAGGTGAGCTTCTTCCACCACGGCGACGACTTCGTGCTCGAGGGCTCTCGGGACGGGGCGGAGTCGATCTGCGAGGCCCTGAAGACGAAGTTCATCGTGAAGGGCAGGGGCGTGCTCGGGCCGGCGCCTACCGACGCACAGGAGATCACGCGCCTCAACAGGGTAATGCGCTGGCGAGACCGATGGTGCCAAGGGGGCGAGGCCATCGAGTGCGAGGCGGATCCCAGGCACGCGCAGATCTTGCACGCGCAGCTTGGAATGGACCCCCGCACCACGAAGTCATTGAGCACGCCAGGGCCGAGCCAGCAGCTTACACCTGAGGTCGAGCGCGAGCTGAACGAATACGAGGCGGCAGAGTACCGCAGTGCGTGCATGAGGCTGGGCTACTTGGCGCTCGATCGGCCAGAGGTGCAGTTCACGGCCAAGGAGTGCGCTCGCGGCATGCAGAGGCCGACAGAGCGACACCTCCGCCTTCTGAAGCGCGCTGGACGCTTCTTGATCGGGGCGCCGCGGGCCATCTGGAAGTGGGGCCGACAGCGGGCACCCACAGTGATGGACATCTATTCGGACACCGATTGGGCAGGCTGCCCGATCACGCGGAGGAGCACCAGTTCGGTCGTGATCAAACATGGGCAGCACCTGATCGTTACGGCATCGACGACTCAGATCCCCATCTCCATGAGTTCGGGGGAGGCTGAGTTCTACGGCTGTGTGCGGGCGGCCAGCAGGGCCATCGGCATGCAGTCAGTCACTGTGCCAGGGCCTAGGCAGGGACGTGAGCCTTCGCATCTGGAGCGGCTCGGCAGCTGCTCTTGGCATCATGCAACGACGAGGCTGCGGCAAAGTCCGACACCTCGAGACGCCGACGCTGTGGGTGCAGAAGACACACAAGGACGGACGGTTTCAATTGGCCAAGGTTCCCGGGAAGTCGAACCCGGCGGACCTGGGGACGAAGTTCCTCGACCAGGCGGCGATGCTCCGAGGGCTGGAGATGATGAGTGTCAAGCTCTCGGACGCGCCCCTTTCGAGTGCCCCTCAGGCGAAGGTCTGAACTGAGGGGCGCGAGCGGCCATTTTGGCCTGGCCATTTCGGCCTGCAGTCTTTCGCTCCGCGCTGTCATTGCCTTGGACGGGCTACGGCCGTCAGCGCGGCTATTGCGTGTACTTTGATTGCAGTGCTCGACTAACGCCGTGGTCCAGAGCGCTGTGCACTGACAATGAGTTTCGGAGCTTTTCAGGATTCGAGCATCGTGCCTGGCTGAAGAGCTAGGCGGCACGAAGGGGGCTGCAGGAATCCAGAGACCCCCAGCAGGTTTACTGACAGAGATCATGCCATTGCTGGTATGGCTCAAGGCAAGCATCCGAAGAAAAGATCTCGCCACTCCCTCTCTCTTTCCGGACCACGAGCACATGCAGCACTTATACCGTCGTCCGCTCTTCTCGGGCCGCCGCGGGGGGCGCCCCAAGGCGTCGCCTTTCGCTGCCCTGTGTCCTGCGTCGCGTAAGCTAAGGCGCGCGTAGAGGCAGCGCTTCTGCCGCGGGGGCGCACGCGGGCCCCATGGCGGCCTGTTCTCCGCCACCCGCCCTTTCTACCAGACGGGGCCCCCCAGGGCCGCGCCAGGGGGGAGATCACCCCACCGCACCTGCTACACACACGCGGGACCTCCCGCCCTGAGAGGTTGGCCCGCGTGGCGCTCGTGCATGGCTGGTGCCGCCCAGCTTTGCTTAGGTTGCCTTCGCCTATTGAGTCTTGATGGGCGACTTTGCGTCGCTAATTCTGGCGGACAAGGACGACCTCGCGACGGCGGAGACGGTGAAAGAATCGGCGCGTGCGAAGCCGGAGGAGGTGGGTCTGGACGTGCACAGGGACGGCGCGGGGGACGCGATGCCCCTCTCCATGGGCGCGACGATCACCGAGCAGCCCTACCGCCTGACGGCCTCCAGGGAGAAGATTGAGAACATGACAGGTGCAGCGGGGGCCTTGTTGGCTCGGCGTCGCGCGACCTCGACGGAGACTTGTCGCGAGTTGCGGGGTCCAGGGTAAGGCTGGCTTTGCGCTGTCGCCCAGTTCTCTGCGTGCTCGACGCCTGCTACAAGTTCGTGACGAAGCGCACCGACGACGACGCCAAGTACGAGTCGTGGGATAGCGCGATGACAGAGTTCCACTTGTTGCACCACCTGGCGCCCTTGATGCGCGCGCACCTGGAAGCCCGATGGAGCGAGATCGCGTTCGCGACGGTCCCGGGCGAGCAAGGCTCGGGAGTTGTGGAGACGAAAGCTTCTGGGGACGAGGTCAAGGAGGAGGTGGGCATGCAGCGGGAGGCCCGGCAGCTTCGCGACCTGGCGAGGGGCGAGGAGGAAGAGCCGCTGCTGGGCGGCAGCGCGTTAGAGTGCTCGAAGCGAGGCGCCCCTCGGACGACCGACGAGAGCGAAGCGCCGCACCAGCGTTGGACGGCCGACGCTTCTTTGGGTCACGGCAATTTCGGCGAAGAGGTGCGGAGCGAGTGTCATTGCGAGACCCTCGTAGCGGAAGGCGCTCGGAGACCCCGTCGCGATTTGATGGGCCCGTCTTTCGAGGATCTTGTGTGCGAGGCTATCTTGTTCGGGCTATTCTTATTGGTGCACATGGCACCTCCATGCTCGTCTTTTTTCCGCAGGCTCGGAGGCAAGTCGTTCGAGCTCCGTCCGGGGCGCTGGGTCAGAGGACCCCCCGGGCTTTCGCCTCCTCGGGTTCGGCGAGTGCGAGAAGGCAGCGCTCGAGCCCAGGCGGCGATGCCGACGTGTTTCGCATGTCTGGCGAGTGGCGCGGGCATTTCTCTCGAGAGTCCCAGGGCCTAGATGATCTGAAAGCTCCCCGAGATGATGTGATTGAGGGGGCAGTCTGGCGTTTTTCGCTGTCGGGATCGCGCGCAACGCTTTTGGGGCGAAGCGGATGAAGCCTACCCGTTTGTTGGCGATCGCGAGGTCGTTAGAAGAGCTAGCGTGCAGATGTGCGAGCCGCCGTCAACGCCGAGAGTTCCGAGGACGAAGTTAAGTAGGTCAGCTATGGACTCGGTTCGCCGCAGTCTATCCGTCTCAGCTGCGCAGCGCCTTCGCGAGGCTCATTCGGAAGGCGATCCACGCCAAGGAGCTGGTCATTCACGATTGGCGAGTTCGCGAGATCCGAAGCCTCCCAGAAAGGCCCAGAACGGTGCTGGATCATTGGGGAGACGCATCGATATGGCACTTTTCAGGGAAAGGAGGGTGGGCCCACGAGGGCCACATGAACGTGCTGGAGAGGAGGGCCTTGGCATCTGTGTCTCCGCATCTGCGCAGGTCATCGCAGTGTCGGAACAGCCGCTTCTTGGTCGTATGCGACTCCACTGTGTCAGTTGGAGCCGTCAGAAAGATGAGCGGTTCGTCGCGGCGTTTGATGGTGCAGCTGAGGAAGATAGGCGCGGTCACCTCAGCGACGGGGGCGAGGCTGATTTCGCGGTGGATTCCCGCGGGCATGAACCCAGCAGACGGCCCGCCACGAGGCGAAAGCGCAGCGCGGAGGTCGCCGGCGCGAAGGCCGAGCAGAAGAAGGTGGTCTTTGACAAGCATTCGTTCGAGACGATGCTTGGCGACCAGATGGAAATCAATGGCATTCACGACGACTGCGCCTGGGACTGGCATCTCTAGGCATGCTGCTGGTCCCGGCGATCTGGTGCGACGGCTTCCCGGTCAGCTCGGCGAGCCGCGACGCGCTGGTGGGCGACGGCGACGAGTGGAACGACGGGGTAGCAGATGGCGGCGACGAGGGCGCGGGCGGCTCCGATGGAGCAAGCTTGATGATGGGAGCTTTGGCAGCGCCGAAGTCAAGCAAGAAGGGCGCTGCCAAGGAGAGGGCCCCGAAAAACCAACGAGCTGGACGACGGCGACCTTTCGCGCCTATGCAGAAGAAGGGCCCGACGGCGTTCGATAGCGCCGCAGCCGAGAAGCCTATCACCAGCAGCCCCCTTGGCAGCGACAAGCTGCAGCAACCCCTCAGGCCGCTGATCCACGCGGCCCAGGGCGACGCGATCCAGGAATGCATCGAAGAGGTGGGGCCCTTCCTGCGCGACGTGCGCCAGGGGCGCCTCCCCTTCGCCGCGCTAGGGGAGCGAGATATCACGGTGGCCGCGGAGTTGGACAACAGGTGCTTTGCGGAGGGGGCCACTCTCAGTCAAGGTATCAAGCTATGCCGCGGCTTGATGCGCATCTTCCCTGAATTGAGATCGGACGTGCCCATCGCGTTGGGACCTCCACATAGTTGAGAGATGCACCGGCAGACATGGGAAAGGGGGGTCCAGTTTGCATCGAGGCCATCTATGTCATCGCTCGCGACGCTGCTCGGCACGGCCACGTGGACGAGGGCATTGCCTTCCTGCCCTCCTACGACTGCCACCTTCGAAAGCAAGGTCGGTTGCATGTAGGTCGAGGACGTTCGCGCGAGTTACCGAGATCCGCGACGCCCGTGGGCGATCAAGGCGCGATCTTGCTGGGACGACGGCATAGAGGAGAGCGCGTGCAGACCGGTCAGGCGCAGGGCGTCGCCATCGATGACCTAGGGATCGTCGCATTGTTAGCGAAGCGTGTGGAGCCCTTCCCCAAGCAGGCGCTCGTGTTCGACACCACCGCCGCTAAGGCGGGCACAGCGTGGCGACAGATCCTAGTAGATAGCGACGTGAGCTGGATCGGCCCCATGCACACTTTGAGGCGCGGCGGCCCGAGTCACGATATCCTGCACAAATAACGCCCGGTTGCCGTCAAAAGTAAAGCGAGAAGGACGAGAAGCCAAGCATGATCTAAGGGCTATCATCCAGAGCGCTCCCCCGACCAGCACGTGGAGTTCAGCCAGCTCGGCTGCCATGATGACCCTCGGCCGCCATGGCGCCCATGGGCAAGTCGGATTGAGACGTGGCGGTTTTGCCGATGCACTCCCAGCCTGCCCGCTGCCCAACAGCCTCCCCTCCTCTCCTCCTGCCTTCTCCTCCCCTCTCCTCCTTCCCTCGTGTGCCAGCCGCGCGGTGGTGCCCCATCCCTTTCCTAATATGCTAGAGCGCCCCACCCTCCGAAACCCCAGTCTTTAAGTGTGAGCCGAGGCTATGGGGTATGGGTATTTTCCTGGTGGTGGCCTTCGCCGTTTTTGAGTTTCGAAGGTCTCGGTGGCCCGGGGCCCTCGTGCGAGGCCCAGCTGCCGCCGTCAGCGGCGTTGAAATCTGTGAAGCGGCGTATTGTGTGTGCCGCGGAGGGGTGGAACATTGTTTCTGGCCTTCTCATCGCCCTGTGCTAGATTCCATGTTTGTTAACGGGCTTTCTTTGAGTGCGTGTAGATAGGGCCGCGAACATCGAATCCCCCCCGTCGGGCTTCGGTGGGACGGAGGGGGGTGGGACAGCGAAGAATGTGCTCAGAGCTGCGAGAGACTGTCCGTTATATGTGGTCTCGAACATCCCGACCCACCCTCCCAGAGGGATGTTTTCTTGGTGCTGGCCCTCACCGTTTTTGAGTTTTGAAGGTCTCGGTGCCCCGGGGCCGCCGTCGGCGGTGTGAAGACTGTGCAGCGGCGTGCTGTGTGTGCCGCGGTGGGGTGAAACGTCATCTATGGCCTTCTCATCGCTCCGTCTTAGAAGCCATGTCCCCGCCGGGGCCCTTGTCAAGAAGGGCGAGGCCCCGGGCTGCCCGATGCGACTGGCAAGTCCTCGCCCGCCATCGCGGGGAAGTGCTCGGGAGGCGGCGGGGGCGTGCACAATGAGTCCAGGAAGGGGGCGGGAGGCAGGCCGTCGGCGGTCTCCGCGGACAGCCCAGCTCGGGGCTCAAGAGGCGTTCCAGGCTCCTCGGCGGCCTGCGGCTCGTCGTCCAGCAGGTCGAACGGGTCAAGCTCGTCGTCCGCATCCAAAGGTGGTGGTCCGCACTGCGGGCCGCGCCTCGAAGCCCTCGGTATGTCTCATACTCTCATGGGGCTCCAGCTCGTCACCGATCCCTGCATCCGCCGCTTGCGTCGCGGCGGCCTCCCCGCCTGCCTCCACGGGCGGGGGCGGCGGCGACTCA